ACACTTTGTTTTCTGTGTTGTAATTTAAATCAATATATTTGAAAATGTAGAAAAACATCCACAAATATTTAATAAATTTCAATTGGAATTCTATTGTGTAACAGTGGATTAAAACTGCAATTAATCGCAGTTCATTTTTTTGAGTTAACTATAATTAATAATCAACAGCCCTAATTACCATTGATAATAGAGCTAGTGCGGAGCATCCAGGTGGTTTTAAACCACCACTTTTATCTAAACCTGCTCTGAGCAAGTCTAGATGACATGTGATTAGCACACTAGCAACCAATGACACCTTGTTTACATTTGCACTCCTACCATGGATACCTACCCAGTTTTAGTTACAATAACAAGAACACTTAGCTCTTGATATAATATTTTCCATCTGTAGTGCTTAATGCTAGCAATAGTTTAGGTACCAGTTAAACTTTTTTACCACAGCATTATGGGTTAGATGGCATAGTGGGGATAACAGCACTGCCCAGTTTATTCTAGTGTTTCCCTGGTTGCAATTGGTGGGGCTGTACTAGTGCTAGACCAAAGGTAGAATTGCTAAAAATTCTCAGTGCAGACAGAGCTCAGAGCAAGAGCAACCATAACAGCAGTGGAAACGTTGTGCACTGTTGCCAGCATTTTCATTTGTGGATGGGCATTGCATTTCAGGTGTGGAATGGGTTTGCATCACCAAATTACTCCAATGTTGACAAGACTCAGAACCCCTCTAAAAATTCTTTAAGGCTAAACCAAGCAGGCTGAGTTGAGTAAAGCTGAGTAGGCTACAGTCAAGTGAAAGATTGTACTGCCTCTCCTTGGTCGCTCAGCATCACAATTCTTTGTAAAAACAGTCATACTGGTTGTACTCTACAAGCTCTCAACATTGAAGGCACTTACTACTGGGCCCCAGTTAGGGGACTCTACTCTATGAAGAAAGTGTGAGGGGGAAGTCGCCTGCTTTCCAGACTCCAGCTGAGCAACAAGGGGCAAAATATTGCATGTCATGTGCATTCAAATTAGACTCAACACCAAGAGAAGAATAGCACTAACAATGAGTTAAGCCTGTCTTCCTCATCATCACCTAACATGGCCGTTCAAGTTCTCACAGGAGCTATCAGAGAAGATGAAATGGAAATCAAGCACAGCTTGTGATTCGGGACAGATTTCTCCAATTTCTCCTTCTTTCACCTGTCTGAGGAAGGAACTGAACATACAAATAATAATAAAACAAAAGGCACCTAAAATGAAGGAGTATGACTGAGGGCTCTGAGCAAGCAAACATTTTAAAGCTAGGGAACTTTGTATTTAGAGCTTATATATAGCTTTTTACATCTTCAAGGCACTGCACCAGTGCTGACAATCTAATCCTCAGAACCCCTCTGTGAGGTAGATAAATGTAGCCTAGAATAACTTGTTGGAACATCCAGCAGAATGAAATTCATAATCCCCTCTCCCCAGAGAATATTCCTCAGACATCCCAGCATCAAAAGATATAGCATTTCCCTACATTTGCATTAGTGATGTGTGTAGGCACAAACACATAAAATCCTGGCTTCAAGAAGTAATTTGAACTTTAATAGACAAAAGCTGCGCATTGAGTAAAGGAAAAAGCTGTCTAACTAATTCAAGGGTGCAATTTTTATTATTCTTCATCTCACCCTTTAATTTATGATGTATGAATAGAACAGATGGGAACTCTTGCTCAAAAACACACTATAGGATTCATTAAACCAGATCTGACTGTTGGTCTATTCAGTTTCACACCTCAGCTTTGGCAATACCCAAAACCTGATGCTTTGGAAGAAAGTGAAACAATGATGCACTTAGAGGCAACTGTGCAATGCTATCCATAACCAAATCTCCCCCAAAATAGGAGATTTGATTACCTTAATTTATCTTGCATAGCTACAAATGCTATTAGCGGTCATAAAAGTATCCTGGCCTTTCATAAATCTGGCCAGAGCATTTTTCTATATGACCTGATTAACACAGTTAGAATTAAACAAGGTACATGTTGACTTCTTGCAACTGCAAAGCCCACTGCCTGTTTTTGAATAGATCTTTTTGTGACAGATTAGTCTCCGATATGACTACAGATTTGGGCATCACTAATTACAAATACATTTGCATCTCTGTGGTTTCTCTTTGTATAGAATCAAATGCTGCGACCATAGCATCAGCCCTCCTTCCTGCTATTCATTATCTCTATTACTCTTTCACCTCACTCCCCACATTCTCTTCTTCATGTAACTGCACCTAAAACATTCTCCCTCAGAGTCTCATTCCACTTCAGATGTATGCTCCCCAGTCTCTCTCCTCCATCCAAACCTGGTCTTAGTTTGCCTAGTTTGTCCTGAAGATAAGCTTAGCTCCCAATGGTCTGCAGAAATGCCCTGCCCATAGCAATTGGTTGGATCAGATGAACTGCTGCTTTTATGGCTCCCAGCTGTTGACAGGGGAACATGCAGCAGTTTTTCGGCAGCTGGCAGAAGGAGGGAGAGGCTGAGCACTGGCAGTGCTGTGGCTCCCTTGAGTGCTATGAAGCACCGTTAGCAATCAGTGGTGGCTGTGGCACCATGGACCACCAACATCTCTTGAAGCTACATTTAAGATTCATTGCCCTAGGTGACATCCTACAGTAAAATCTAGCATTGCTAATCTCTATGCTTGTAGTGGATTGGTTGTGACAGCTCTCTGATACAGTGCTTACTGTATTTCTTTTTGCCTTTACTGAAAGAATAACTCTACAGATGTGTCAGATGGAATTTTGTTTTGGATTAACAACATAAATGTTTAATAGGAAATTTAAAAAACCTTGCAATGTCAGATCCAATTCATCTTACACAATGCAACTGCCCAGGATAATTTAAAACATGAAAGGAGGAGTGAAGCAAGAGGTTCAGTCTATTATGAAACAGACTTAGAAATCTAAGGAATTCTGATTGGTTGTTGATGAGGTTGCACAAACCCTATGCTCAGGTGTAAACTTCTCCCTCTCTTTTTTATATTAAAAACTGTGCAGGACATATTTTACATGCCATGCACACGGAAGTACGGCACATTGCCAAACCTGGAGACCAATGTGTTCCATTGATCCACAGAACAGATGCAACAAGGACAGCAAAAAGGCAAGGCTCTCCCCTCCCCCCCATACTGCAATTCCAAAATGTCTCAAACCTAATCTGGAGGGCCCACTTCTAAAAATAAGAGAATAGCTTGGTCTCTAGGTGCATTCCAGCCCCAATCCAGCAAAGCATTTATGCATGTGCTGAAGTGCCACCGAATTCAATGGGACCTAAGTACGTGTTTGAAGTGCTTTGGAGAGAAGGGATGGATTGCTGAATTGGGGCCCCAAACCATAGATTGCCTGTCTAGACCGACAACAAAGATGGTATGGGAAACTCTTTATAGGAAGATGGAAAAGGAAATAAATTTGAAACAGTCCCCTGAACATCTGATGGTGATAACTTTCAGTAGCTTCATATCTAGCCCAGGGTGGCAAAGTGTCAACATAAAGGGGCAAGATTCTACATCCCATTACAATCCCTTGTGCCCTCAAATTCCTCTTACCTTTTAAACATAATTTAGGTTCTCATGTGACTGAAGTTATGGTATATGCCCTTGTGTTACTGTGGACTAAAGGCATGCAATGAAAAAAACTCCCAGAAATGCATTTTCTGACTAGTCTTACTGCTTAAATATCAGTTAACCTCTATCTTACTATTCCTTTAATAACAAAAGAGGAAATTTTGCTCTTAATATCCATAAAGTCTGTATTATATAAAAGTTCAAATACTGAAATCAGAATTCCAAATGTATCATCTTACAAGATAGTAAAGGAAAACATGAACAAAAAAAAAACAACCAAACCAAAACACCCTCATCATAGAGGTTCACATTTTTGAAGACCCTCAATTCAGATTACAGATATAATTTGAGGTAGTTTTACTTTGTCTCTGCTGCTGGGAATAAACATACCCTCCACAGACAGGTTGAAGTGAAGCTCCTCCTCCTTCCTTACTTCAATAGCAGTGATAGCTTTGCTACTGCAGCATAGCATTCTTAATTCTGCACAAATAATTGCTATAACAACCACCACAGAAGAGAAGCTTGGCATTCTAAATAGCAGTGCAACTATTTTAAGAATATTGAATCCAAGGATCCAATACCAAATCACCTTGTTAGTAGGAAATAGTTTCCTTATAATGTCTGGACAGGCCTGGAAACCTCACATTGTGTACATTTTTCTATAATCATTCTTAACACATTTCATAATCTACTCCTCATCAATTACAAAAATAGTTAAACATATGCTAATAGAGTCTGAAAAAAATCACAATGTTGACGTTACCATAATTAGCATTTAAGTATCATGGCAAAACTCCGATTTCAAAACAATCTTCTTTCCAACTACACAGATTAGCTTTATGTTACCCTGCCATGTTCAAAATCTTCTCTACCACCTCAATCTTCACAGAAGGTTATTTAAATATTATTGATAACTTCCCACTTCTAATTTTACAGTACTTTCATATTCTGCTCTCTAGAAGACTTAGGGTTTGACATTTTTCTCCTGTTATAGCGGGATGGAGGGAATTGGGGGATTTATTTTGCTTACATAGTAGGGGTTTTAAAGCAAATTTTACATTTGGCACCTGATAGCAGAAATATAAAATGTATAACTTCGGAATTCGAAGTGAATGGTTGCCCTTAAATTTCCCTACACTGTGTGTAGTTGAAGATACCACCATACTTCAGATCGCTGGAAGCAGAACGTTCCATAGATCTGCAATAAACGCTCTGATTTCACATCTGATCCAAACAACAACAATATAATTTCAACAATCTTCCGATACTATCCCTTAGATGTGATAACTCCACTAGTATTGTCATGATTCAGTTCAACTTTCTTTTTCATTCTTAGTTCATAAGAAGGGTGAGACTCCCAATTAGAATTTCAAAAACATTAATGATGCGTAAGCAAGATAAGATCCCACAACACTCACCACCAAATACATCTCCATTCTGGTAGTTCTTCCCCTTCTGAGCTTCCTCTTCATTTTGAACAGTAGAAACATGCTTGGCTGACGCACAGCCCATAGCTTCATTCAGTCAGCTCCAGCTGGACTGAACCACAAATCATCTCTACAGATGCCTAAGCATTGTTTTAAAAATAATCCACCTTCTTGCTTGGTTGTCAAGACACTTCTACCTGCAGATATAAGAGGAGAAAAATATTTCTAAGCATATTGACAGAAAGCCATCATTAAGAAGGCTGCACTTTTTGGCAAACAGGAAAATATCACGATGGTATTTTGGGGAGAGAAGTGCAGGAAAAACACCGTCTCAAAGAATAAACACACATTTTTTTCCCCCTGAAGCACATATGAGAAATCAGAGACATTTGCTTCTCTTGCTACTTTTCATAATCTGTCCATCAAGCTAATTTTCTTAGGTTTCAGAGTAGCAGCCGTGTTAGTCTGTATCCGCAAAAAGAACAGGAGTACTTGTGGCACCTTAGAGACTGTTAAAATCTGTTTAAAAAACCAATACCAATGGCTGTGTGGGTACTCTTCAAGCTAAACCAATTAAAAAAAAAGTTTAAACCAATATAAAAGAGTGTCCACACACAAAGCTGCACTCATTTAACTAAATTGATGTAAGAATCACACCTTTAGTTAAACCAGTGCAACTCTGCATACAAAACACACAAATGCTCATCTGTACTTAAATGCTTATATGAGTATCTAAACGTGGGAGACAGACATTCTGGGTATGTCTACATAGCAATTAAACACTGGCAGGTGGCCTATATCAGCTGACTCGGGCTCATGGGGCTCAGGCTGCATGGATGTAAAATTGCAGTGTAGATGTTTGTGACTCGGGTCAGCTGTGGCTGTTTAATTGCTGTGTAGACACACCCACTATTACTTTTATTTCTAAGGTTATACAATTCAAAGTCACTTAGTGGAGTATGTTTTTTAATCCAGTATTTCTCAGCTATTTATGTTAATAGTTGCAGACCTGTTTATTTCACATACATCATGACAAAGTTTATCTATGAAGGTAGGGCCGGTATAAATGCAAAATGAGATTGCAAATCCTATTACAGTTCAAAACCCAGACACTGTGCATTGGCCAGCCTCCTTCTGACACTTGACTGTTCATAATTTGTAACCAAAATCTGAACTATATAATTTCATCCACATCTTGAAAAATGTACTGATACTTTTATACTGACACTTTTCTGATCTACAAGTACTATGCCAATATTCTGAATTCAAAACTCTCTCTCCTCTTTCCACCTAAACAGACTAGTTTCATGCCCGAGGACTGAGCCTAGTATTCAGGGTGGAAAAACAGCTGTGCCATCAAACCCCCACAAAGGCAACTCTCTCTCCCAATTTAATGGCTAAGGGCCTTGATTCAGCAAAACATGTAAATATACACTGAAATCCCATTCCAAACAATGTCTGTTTCCCATCACTCCATATACACACTTTCTGTTCATGGTACCTGTATCCTCTACCTAAACCCCATAGAATGCAGAAAATATTTCTCCTCCCTCCCCAAAATTCCCCTCCCCCAACAGATTTCTAACTTATTCAATCAATTTGTTTTCCTCTTACTCCCATCCACCCTCTCATAGGATAGGAAATTTTACCAGACTCTTAGTAGCCAGAGAACTAATGTACTAGCTGTAGACAGAGATAGGGACCCATTGTTCAGAAGAAATGCAACTCTAACCTTCCCTCATTTTCTGGTTGCTACAAGGGAGATAATTTCCACTACTGTATAAGATCACCTAGCTTTCAGTTTTGGGTTCCCTCTCCAGTAAAGCTCTATTACCCACCTTTGCTATAGCTCATAGCTTTCCCAAGCAGCAGCAAAATGAAATGGACCCGATCCCCATGCTAAATATTGTTCTAAATAGTGGCCGTGAAAATGACAAGACTGTTCAAATTTTCACTTTGCAATATCCTAGGCAAGCTTTGAGCAGCAGAGGCACTGGAATTGTCAGTCTGTGGACTAAGGAAGACAGCACATCCTCAGTTAATCTTCCTTATGCAAAATATATTCTTTGTCCCCATGAGGACTGGAAACTTACTAATTTTTAAAAGGAAGTTTAGATTTTGTAATAGATGATGGCTATTGCCTGGAAAAGCTTCCTACTTGCCTTGGGCAAGTGCCTGAGGCAATTTTTCAAGCCCTGATTTTATCAGTCAGCTCATTAAACAACATTTAGATATTACCAGTTAGTATGCAAAAAAGCACCACGTTAATTCCATTCATATACATTGTAAGTATTTAAAGAAGAACAACCACAGAAATGAAGATGCAGCAATTTTATTTAAATCATCTTAACTGATCTTACATTCCTATAACAGAGTGAGAGTCACTGCTTATAACAATGTGTATCTACATTAGTGTGCCCTAATAATGTAAGTGTCAGAATGTTATTTTAGATGAATAGCTTCAAACCCCTCCATTAGGGCATAAGGCTGATGGGAGACAAACAAGCATGAATGAACCAGAATGTGACATGCTACTCTTGCTGTGAGATGGACCTTGAGAGAGCTGAATGCTAGGCCAGCATGCTTGAGTGCAGCATATAGTCAACGATCTTCAGCATCAGAGCCTCTGCCAGGTCTGACAACTTAGAGTGGTGGTTTTCAAACTTTTTTTCTGGAGACCCAGTTGAAGGAAATTGTTGATGCCCATGACCCAATGAAGCTGGGGATGAGGGATTTGGGGTGCAGGAGGAGGCTCAGGGCTGGGGTGTGGTGGGGGACGGGGGCAGGCTCTGGGAATGAGGGGTTTGGGGGGCACTCAGGGGCTCCGGGTTTGTGGGACACTCAGGGCTGGAGCAGGGGATTGGGGCAGGGGGTTACCTCAGGCGGCTCCCAGTCAGCGGCGCAGCAGGGTTGCTAAGGCAGGCTTCCTGTCTGTCCTGGCACCGTGGACTGCACTGCGCCCCGGAAGCAGCCAGCAGCAGGTCTGGCTCCTAGGCGGAGGCGCGCAAGCTCTCTGTGCAGCTCCCGGCCAATGGGAGTGCGGAGCTGGTGCTTGGGGTGGGGGCAGCGCGCAGTGCCCTGTGGCTTCCCTGCCTAGGAGCCGGACCTGTTGCTGGCTGCTTCTGGGACGCAGTGCAATGTCAGAACAGGTAGGAACTAGCCCACCATAGCCGGGCAGCACCGCCGACGAGACTTTTAACGGCCCGGTCGGCAGTGCTGACCAGAGCTGCCACAACCAAGTGCCTTACATCCAGTACTGGGTCGCAACCACAGTTTGAAAACCACTGACTTAGAGTCTGCCATGAGGCAGGAATAGTTGAGCTGCCCTATATAGGCATGCTGACGGTCAGGGATCAGTCTAGATGGGTTGAGTTGGTTTTATTTTCCTATGGAAAGTAGAAAGAGTGATGAAGAGTTTAGCAAGAGCTAAAGACTAGAGGGCTGGATACTCACTGGGTCCCATCTCACTGCCATGGGCAATAAGAGGGAATTGAGGGACAGTTGTAGGCATCCCACTCTTTATGCCCTCATATGGAAGCATGAGGCAGTACAGGGCATATGTGCCCCCTCAAGGAACACAGCTATTCAAAAGACAAGTCTCATGCACAAGCGATCATACATCTACAGTGGGATCCACACTGACACATACTCAAAGGATACAACCTTTCCCCCCTTATGACAGAGCCAAAGGGTGAGATTTTCCAATAGTTGAGCCTGTAAGAGAATAGAATGGCTATCCTGCCTCCAAATTTGAATTTCGTAGTTCTGAACCTGTAGTTACTAGAGTATCCTTGGGAGAAGAGAGATGGAGAACCAGGCCTGTGATGTCAGTCAGCCAAGTTGCTGCAAGGCAGATCAGTGCCTTGTCACCAATAAGATCATGGTGAAGGGCTCATTGACTACAAACAACATGTTATCAATAGGAAGCTATGGTCGTGATGCTTCTCGTGTGCCCACATAGCTGACTGCAGAGGACAGGTGGCAGCTATCAAGGATTCATCTTTATAGGCACTGACTGATGTTTCATCTGACTATTTCTTCCTGGCATGACCTGTATCAAGGAGTCATGAAGGTACGTGGTTGGTGTAATTGGCAATAGTAATGATCCAGTAGTATGCTGATGGACTCCCTAAATGGTCTGAGTTAGATGAACTGTTGATGAAAGTCAGGGTGGGAGTAACCCACATACAGGCTAGGGAAATATGCTTGACAACCCTGAGCATTGGTAGGTTGTGGGAATGAGAAAAATGGCAAAGCTCTTCACCCGAAAATATCTTGTGTCAATCAGCAACAATACCTCTGGCTGGTCCAGGACCAGCTCCTATGAGTTCTGGAAAATGGTCTTATCATCCATGACCAGAATGTTAGTGAACGTAATCTGCTACCTCAAGGATGACTAGGATGAAACAATGGAAACCCCAGAATCTCAGGAAGTATGCAGTGTTTCTGTGGGAGAAGAGAACCACAACAGAGTTTTATTCTTTTTACGCTCAGGTAGCTTACACCACCTTATTAACGAGAAGGGCTGTGCACAAAAGCACACAATAGTTAAACAGAGTAACTAGAACACAAGAACTAGAATTTCGCATTTTTTTAGATTAGAGGAAAGGACAATAAGTGTAATGGTACCTATAAATAAAAATACAAATAGATGATCATTGGTCTGCGTGTCCATCTGCTCTGGTAAGCAATAAAATGAGTTAATAAACAAGTACACTGAGAAAAGTTTACTATTAGGACTGGAAATATTAAATATTTCCTAAATCTTTAGTAACCTTGGAGTGTTAACATGATTACAGAGTGGTAAAATGCTCAGAGAACAGATACCTACTGTGACACTGAGATAGTATGGAAAAAACAAGGATAGCAAGCATTGTCCCAAGCATTAATTTTGCAGAACAAACATAATCCATGATACATGACACCTTGCAATGATCAAGCCTTCTTGATACTGCCTCCATTATTGAGGGAACCTTTATTGCCTCACTGTACAGAAGTTCATGGTGGTGATGTTCAGGCACTGTTCAGGATTACTACATGTGGTATGTCTCCCTCACATGGATATTTCTCAGGATTAGTTAATGTATGTATGGTGTTTTGAACCTGTAAAATGCAATACTGTACTTCACGTGTTAAGAAGCATTATTAGGACACAATGGAAGTTTCCACCCAGTTTTGTTATAATTATATTATTTAA